GCTGGTGCTGGTGCTGGTGGTGGTGGAGGTGGTGGTGGAGGTGGTGGTGGCGGTGGTGGTGGCGGCGGTGGTGGTGGCGGCGGTGGTGGTGGGCGGTTCTGGTGATCCTGGTGGTCCTGGTGGTGCTGGTGGTCGTGGTGGTGGTGCCTTGGGCCATCTCGTTGTTGCTGTTTGGTTTGAGCTACTGCTGCTGCCGTTTCAAGCTATGTTGCTGTTTCTGCTGTTGTCACTGTTGATGCTAATACCCTAACCCGCTGCTGTCGTTGTCGTGATGGTTGTTGCTTGTGCTTCAAGAACTTTGATTTCACCTGCCGTTACCATGCTGTACCATCATTTGCCATTGCAGTTGAAAACTCCTGTTCTTCTCGTGGTTGGTGCCGTCCACAGTGAAAGCTGCTGCAAATTACAATCAAAACGATGTTCTTCATTCATCAGCAATGCGGCTCTTGGAAAAATGCCGCTCTTTTCCCTCAGCCCTCAGCTGCAAGCCCTGAACCCTAAAGCCCATGCCGCTAAACTTTATAACAAATCTGATGTCTCAATGGCCGCAGAGCTTCCAGGAATGCGGGTTTCTTGTGGGCACCCTCCATCAGATTACCTTATTTGTCCAGTTTCTCCCTAGGCCCTAAAACCTTTCGAAACCGGACTTGATGACTGCCAGCAGAAAACGAGCCAGAATTTGAAACGCAGCCCTTCTAGAGGGCATCCGCAAACAAAAGCCCCAAACCCTAAACCCTAAACCATGAAAGGTAGGAACCTTCGGATCCCAATCAGGCTAAATTTTGCTTGCTCTACTACGAAGTTACACAGCTCCATCGCACCGACGCCAGTTTCCGTTGCCAGCATCAGCGCTCCTGTGCAGTTCCTCGGAGCAGGCGTCTAGACGGTCAGGATGCTCAGTAGCTTTAAGATTTAGAGTTTAGAGGGTGAGATAATCAGGCTTTGGGGATGTAGGTTTCGACTTCATGGATTCAGGGTTTAAGGGTTAGGGCCCCTGCTCAGTTCGACAGTAGGATGCAGAGTAGCACCTACCAAGAAAGCTTTGCAGTAGCAACAAGCAGTAGCGAACTAAGTATCGATTTCAACAGCCGCCACCCCAAAACAAATTGGTTAGTTCAAGGGTTGCATATTGAACCAAGAGGAATATCAAGCAGTCCCTAAATCAGTACCTGGCTGAGAACCAAGTACTTGTACTTGGAATCACTCCTGGTTTGATGTCTACGGGAGGAATTCTGGGATCATCAGAGAATTGGACCCCTCCGGCGAATGCTGCCGTTTCAGGCTTCCCTACAGTGTCGCCTCCTTTCGGGCTTCGAATGGCAGAGCGGCCAGACATGGCAAACAAAGACGATCAACATGTGTGTGCATTGGTTTTAGGATACACACACACACACATATGCGCATGTGTATAGATATACATACATACATACATACATACATACATACATACATACATACATACATACATACACACACACATATATATCTATATACACATGTATGCATACGAACTCCAGTTAAATGCATATACACATAAACAGACAGCAAGAGTGTGCATGTACATAAACTCATCTATGTATGTGTTCGATTGTTTTAAACTGCATCCAACTTTAAATCACAACGCAAGGCTTTATGCACAACGGCTTGGCATTTCTCTCTGGGAGGCGGACAGAGCAATCGGAAAGCAGTTTCAGTAGGGATCTGCAGCAGTAAAGACAGAAGAAGATGCTGCAGGGCTCTCAAAATCGCAAAATCTCCCGGCACTTGCCGCAAGGATTGCTGCGCACAGTGCCCTTGACAACTAAAGGCATTCATCTGGGGATATTTGCCTTGCTACTACTCAAGTGATCAACACAGAAGGCATTGTGGAAGCTAAGCTTCGCAGACACCGGCATACCATGGATCTTGGCCGCCTTCTCGCCAGCGTTGGCCGCACCTGGACGGCCGCCATGTTTCAAAACTGGATGAGTTTTTAGATCTATGGGTTGGGGAGGGTGGGAAACTGGTTCAGGGGACTTCAGAAATCATTGCTGCCGCTTCTGGATTAAGAGAAGTAACATCAGAGAGGTCAGCAATGAGCGTGGACCCGAACAAGTTCGGTATATTTACAAACTCCGCAAGAGTTCTGTGACAGCAAATGGCCGACACAACATCTACACTTGTAGCAAAAAACATTTTCTACGAGTCCGAACAAAGAAAACATGCAGAGCACCCACGAAGAAGCCATGCATCCCTCTCCCTCTCAGGAAGAGCACCTGTCTTGATTGCCCCTGCTGTCGGCCCGCTTCCACATGTGACCACAGAGCCCGCATAGTTGGGAAGGTCGGTCTTCGTGGCCAGGAACTCCTGTGCTTTCTTTGGGAGCTTTCAGAAAATTAGGGAAGTGAGGGCTTAGGATTTGCAGGGATAGAGCAAAGCAGGGCAGTCAGAAATTCAAGTCCTTGGGGAGTCTGCCGGGTTTAGACGTTTAGAGCCGAGAGAAGAGAGTGCAGGCTGTCGGCTTCAGGCTGTCATTATATTATCAGGGTTTAGGGTTTAGGGTTTAGGGTATACTCTTCCACGCAAGAAACATTCACGGTTTCGGCCTGCAGCCCAATCTGTGCATACAAAGCGGTTTCGGTCACCGGGGCTTGCAGTAGAAGAATCTGGCTCCAAGTACCTCATACTCATGACAATTACACAGGCCCACGGACTAGAGCTAACATTGTCCTAAGCGGAAATACTTAATATGTCGTTTGTTACTTGTGAATCTAAAACGCTCCCGGCTCAAGGGCCACAGACTGCAACTACTGTAGTCATCCTCGGCGTTGTTTCGTCTGGCTTGCGGCTACTGGTAGGTCCGTCCTAAACCCTAAACCCTAAACCCTAAACCCAAACCCTAAACCCTAAACCCCAAACCCTAACCCTAAACCCTAAACCCCGAACCTTTACCCTAACTACCAAAGCCGAACTTTCAAGGTGAGGTCTCCATCAATGCGATGTTAGGGTTCGACATAAAAAAGTCTGCAGCATCGTGATGTAGGGGTTTAGGGTTTAGGGTTTAGGGTTTAGGGCCTTAACAACTAGGATATTCTATGGACAGGGTGCTGGATATGCTGTTAGTAGAAATATATTCAGGGCCCCTGAAGACTACGATCGTCGAACTATGTTGTGGAAGCCTAACGGCCACCACAGCTCGTTTAGTTCCCTAAACCCTTAACCCTAAGTTAAGCCCTAAGGGGTTTAGGGTTCAGGGGCTTTGGGTTTCGAGTTTAGGGCTCCCTGAAGACTGCTAATTGAGGGTTTGCGCTCTGAACCCTAAACCCTAAACCCTAAACCCTAAACCGTCAGTTTAGGGTTTCGGGTCTCGGGGCCAAGTTATAGGTCTGAAGCCTGAGGGTTTGGAGGCACAGGTAAGGTAGGGCTTTATGGTGTTAGGGTTTGGGTTTAGGGTTTAGGGCCGTTTAGGGTTTAGAGTTTAGGGCTTTAGGGGGTTTTAGGGTTTGGGGTGTAGGAGTGTTGCTCTGCGGAGGGTCAACGAAGTAAAGGATTCAAAGCATTGCGGGGGCAAAGAGCTCCAGAAAGATAGGGGACCCTCAAATCGATCCTAATCCTTAAGCGAAAGTATCCCCACCGTAGATGAAAAGGCGCCAAAGTTTCAGAAACCCGGAGAAGTCCTCCACGCCGAAGCCGTCAGCTGCCTTCAGCATCGATGAGGATGGCATGGCCGCCATGCAATCCTTCACATACTGCTCAAGTCGGGGGTCAATCTGAATGCCGGATTTCTGCTTGATCATGGGCTGCATCGCGCAGTGCAAATAAGGCATTACCTTGTAGTCCGCGATGGTGAGCTTATCACCACAAATGTACTTGCCTTGGCCGATGAAGGTCTTCTTGAAGCAGCTCAAGATCTCACTGAGCTCCTCATTGACCTTCGCCTGGTCCGCAGGGTGGGAGCCAAAGCCCAAGATTGGGTAGGTCCTTTGGAGCCACTTCTGATACACCGAGGTGCCCATGGCATCCATGGCCCAATCGATTCGGGCTCTCATCTTTGGGTCACCTTCCGGGTAGTAAGCCGGGGCATACTTCGCGGCCATGTAGCGCAAGATAGCGTTCGACTCACCTAGGGTAAAGCCATCTGCACCCTCGTAAGTTGGGATCGTGTGGAAGGCATTCTTCGCCAAGAACTCAGGCTTCAAGTGTGCACCCGACATGAGGTCGCAGAACCTAGCGTCCGGCTTGTCACAAGCAACACAACCAACCGCAATTCCTGTAGCGCCAGGTGTGCAGTATACCTACAGGTCCTTTTTGGGATACCTTATAGGATCCTATCAATATTTGGTTGGTCAACTACAAGGGAGACTATAGCTTGTCTCCCCACTGAGACCCCCCGGAGCAAGGAACTCAAAGGCGCCAATGCCGGTGTCTTGGGCAAAGAGTACCGGCGACATGGCGTTGCAGGAGAGTGTTAAAGCATGAATCTTCGCCTTGCCGTCCGGCGCCGTGGCGGGTCCTCCGCATAGGTTTCCCATGGCTCCGGCGCGCAAAGCTCTATAGGCGGAATGCGGCACAGGAGGCCTCACTGGCGGCAACAGCTTCAAGCAGATACCACGAGTAAGATGTATCAAATTCAAGCTGCTCAGCAACACGAACAAGACAATACCAGGTATGTGCATGCCATGCAAAACCTTACATCACATTGGTGCATGGTCCTGCATGCACAAGACAAGAGGCTATGCTTCGCATTGCCATTGCCAAGGCTAGCGACGGTTTGCTGCTTGTTGCTTGCAGATGCCAGGAAGCTTAAACTTGGCAGAGGGACCTGATTTTCCGGTCCAGTTTTCGCATAACGAGAAATCAGTGAGATCCTGATGTCCGTATGTGGTCTACAAACATGAGCACAGACAAGTATGGTGAAATCATTGTGTGGTGCTAGATAAAGTCATTTCAGAGGTTCAAAGCCGAGACCGCGTAAGGTCTTCCCAAATTGTTTTGGTGGCAAAGCTCGAAAGCTTTCCAGCTCATCAGGCAATACCCAGAGTGGCAGCTAGGGGTTTCCTGGGTGGGATCTCTATGCTCATGTGACGTAAAGAGGCCTGAGATGTTGCCTTGTCGTTAGGCTGCTGCTGGCAGATGGTGGCCTGGTAGTTTAGGGGTTCAGCAGCAGCTTCGGCTAGCTCGGCATATCGGAAGCAGTTCAACTCAACTTCTAACTCCAACTACCCGCAAGCAAGTACGCGTTTCTAGTGAATGCATTACACAATCTAAGAGCCGCCCAGCTGGACCTAGAACTGAGCAGAGAGCCGGCCTCCTGGATGACTTCAACCACCCACCACGGGTACATGCTGAAGCTGAACCTAAACCCTAAAAACCTCAACCCCTCAAACCCTAAAACCCTGACCCGCACCTTCGCCGCAATGTGCGCTTTGGGCCATAATCAAGGCCGCGAGGTTCGACGATGGGTGAAACCCTTTGAAGGTTTGAGGGTTTAGGGTTTAGAACTAAGGGGAAAGTATGTGATATCGGACTGCTAGAGATTAGGTTTTTTACGGTTGCAGTCGGAGGGGGTGGGCAGTGGGAGTTATGAGTTATGGGCCGGGTGTAAACTTGAGTGCTGCGGTCTGCCTTGTAATCTGTTTTGAACTGCATTAGTGCTGGGCTTCGGGTTCAGAGGAGTTCCAGATCATCAAAGTAGCACAGCACTTTTCCGATAAGAACCCTTGCAGTGATTCCGAAAAGTGCGCGGACGATATGAAAGCCGTAAGAAACTAAACTGGCATCAACCGGCCTCCCCGGCATAAACGCCTCTAGAACAACATTTGTAAGCAACGTTCTCTCTGAACCAACAAGGGGAAAGGTTGACTACCCGGGGCCCCAGCTAAGATAGGATCCTCCCGCAGCAGTACGAGCCGAAATCGAAGCGTCGGGTGAAAAGCCGTGGAGTGCCTAAACCAAACGAATGCACCTTAAACCCCTTAACCCTAAACCCTTAAACCACTGAAGCCTAAATCCTTGAACCCCTGGACCCTAAACCCTAAAAGCCTTTATAACCCTTAAAACCCTGAACCCTAAACCCTGCTGTTACTTTGCGGGCATTCTTGCACCGCAACCAAACACTAAACCCAAAAGTTGCATTCAGGATCTGAAAGAGACTAGTGACTAGGGGTTCATCAGCGAAGATATGTTGTATGTAAAGGGGCTGAAAGCCCACGACGAAAGCTGGTCTGGGGGTTTGTGGCTTTAGGGCTGCGGCTTCTATAAGGCTCCGGTCCGTAACCACCCAGTATTATGGTAAGATGAATTACAATAGGGTTGTCGGGAATATTCTTATATCGCAACGGCTAGGCCACCCTGAACTGCAGTTGGTTAGTAGTCTTTGAGCCTTCGTTCACCGGCAACGCCTCCAAAGTCTCGTCCATCAGGGTGCTTTCTGGGCTTATGCCTTGCAGCTTTCTTGGCACATGCACGGTGACTGAGTCTTATGGGGTTTACTGCGACACCCAAGCAAGAAGTGGTCTGACACGAATGACTTTCTCTCTCGCGATCTGCCAGTGTTGGTGGCAAAACTAGAATGTTTGCTCTCTTTTGTTCGAGAGCTCCGTTTTGGGGATTTAGGTCTTCGGCTAAGGGCTGGCGACGAGAGCCAGGTGTGTCTACTACTCCTGGATGTAGCAACCCCTTTGTCCGATACCGCTGCCAACACTGCAGGACGGAAGGAATCGGCTCGCACACAAACATGCGGGGACGTAAACAGCGACGGCAGCGTGCCCATAGAACAACCTCCATTTTTGCAAATGCCAATTACTTCGTACGGGCTCTACCGTTGAGGATTAGTAAATAACCGGAGCTTTGTGAGTTTGGGGGAGTGGCGAGTTATGCTTAGAACAACTCCGGAGTGTACCAGAACAGGGGAGAGCCACTCTCCAAGCCCAAAGAATCAGTACCTCAGCCGGCACCGAAAACTCTCGAAAACAACTCAAAACACGAGCATAGGGCAAGCTCCCATAACGAGTCCTTTTCTGAAGCTTAACCCTAAACCCTAAACCCTACTCAATCTGCATTCTGGACTTCGGCCCATGGTGTTCAAGGTCTACATCCATCTACACCCTGAAACCTGAGACCCTACAATTCGCTTACTGTCTCCGGCGAAGTTTCGTTCTCTCTATACTCTGTTGGTGTTTCGACGACGCGGACCATAAAAATCTAAATGGCACACCAGACACCTGGCTCCCAAACCTTCGCAAGGCCTGCCGGGATGGCGATCTGCCACTCCCAGCTCAGCACGACGAGCTCATGATCCGATGGCAAGTCGGTGTATACATAAATACATATATATATATATATATAAGTATACGCCACCGAACCTGACTAACAAGTTTCAAATCCCCTACATCAGCCTGCATCAAACCCACTTAAAAAGCCGAAGGAGCTATCTAAGACAAATCCTCAGCCATCGGAGCAGGCGATGGCAACCCGAGATGACAATCTGAGTTTCCAGGTTCGGCTGGGGCTCGGGCTGTAGGGCTGCAAGGCTGAAAGCCCTTGTTTCGTTCCGGATTTTAGCTGCCCGGTTTCATAATAAGCTTGGTACAGAAGAATTGCCTCGTTTGATCATTTCCAACCTTGAAGGTAGACCATAAACTATAAACATCCCGAGAGCCCAACCTTATATGCCACCCCAATCCCTCAAGCGGACACACCAGTCCCCCCCTTTGCGCAGCGACCCTCTATACACCCCAGAAATCAGAATTTACAGGAGAGAGAGAGGGGCAGGGAGAAGGGTTCACCTTGGGCTCTGAAGCACCAGAATCGTGCCTACTTTGGGCGATTAGCAGCTGTTGTATCAGGAAGGCCAAGAAAAGAAAGAACAGTCACAGCCAAGAAAGTCAAGAAATGTATCTGAAAATCTGCTGTAATGGTGAACCCTCGGTAGGTAGCGCATGCGTCGGTGGATAGAAGCATGGTGTCATGCAAACCAAAGTTTGGTGGGAGCATTGATGCACCCCGCTGCATGCATTATGGTGTGAACCGGTTGTCATGCATCCGTAAACCCTGAAAATCCGTAAGCGCCAGCCTAAACCAAGATATTGCCCCGCACCCAGCCGCGCCAGACTTTGTACGAAGGGGTGCCAGAGTTGCTCAAGACCTCTGCTGGCCTACCATTTCAGGAAATCGACCATCGTAGTGGGTGTAACTTCACCCTGTGGCTACATGCTACGTACCATTATCTTCTCCCCTCAACCACAAATCCAAACAACAGAGGTCCATGAGAACCGCTAGAGAAGTCCGGAAGCTTCTGAATTATAATATGCTGCTCAGCATTCCTACTGTCAGGCAATCTTCTGTTGAACGGCCTTGGCACGGCGAGTAGTCATTGTCCTACCATGGCCACAGAAACAACGTAGGTGTGACCAGTACGGAGAATTCCTCGCACTCGTGCTCTGCCTGTGCAACTGGTCAAAAGCAACTGCTAAAGCTAACCACGACAAGCATCGCCGTTCATCGTTGCTGGCTTCGTGTTTCAAGCTGATGTCCCTGCAAACTTCAGTCTGGAACTTTCAGTCCTGTCACAAAGAAACCTACCTTTGGTCCCCCTCGTAGTTCCTTGCTGATTCAACCATGCCCATTTGTAGGATCCTACAGTCCGATAAGGTCGCCCAAAACAGGAACTACAATGAAGACTATAGGTACTACTTAGTACATGCATTTTACAAAGGCCCTGAACCATCATGGCGTTTGATCATCTGCTTGCGTTTTTCCAACTGTCCAGGCAGGCGGGGGCTTCTGAAACTGATCATGCGAGGATAGCACGCTTTCAGACTTCGTGCTCATCTGACATGTCCATGGCAGGAATGTTAAGGAGTAATCACAGATTGGGTTTAGTGTATATGCTGCTAGAATTATGTGGAATAGGTACCAAGCAGAATACTATTGCCAAATATTCAGGCCCGACAACATATGAAGGATAATTTGCGTCACATTAGTGAAACGAATATTCAGGGCAATATAACCCCTACCCTACTAAAAGTCACCCCCAACATCAACCGAACTTGCATCCGAGAAAGATTTGCCTGCATTCTTGCAATGTGGACTCAGATTCAAGATCCATCTGTGTCTCTGTGAACCCCTGGGCCGCAACATGGTAGAACCCAACAATGGCAAGATCTTGCACGACGGTTTAGGGTTTAGGGTTGAGGGTGATAAATCGCGTGATGACAGCCTGGACCGAAATCTGATGGGTTGGGGCTTACAGCCGAGACAGTTTTCGTGCGCGAATAGCTGGGCCCCAAGGGTTTGACTGCAAAAACCAAAGTGCACCGATGCGACAAACCAACTGCACTAGTTGTTTTCCTGTGCTTCGGGCAGCAAAAAATACAGCTGCGAAGCCAGCTTGCCCGTGCGGAGAAGCGGCGACACAAACCGAGCAACTCAATGATTGTGAACGTGATTTACTTGCTTAGCAACTTAGCAGCCCAGTTGCGAGTACTTCCACGAGCAAGTTGATTGGTCTACCTTACCCTACCACCAGAAT